TTAAATCCATTGCCATTCCACAGAAAATATCAGACTGTGAGAAAGCTTCTCATATTTCTGCCATTATTACACTTACACTTGTGATGTTTACTACTGTCTGAAATGGTCCTATTTGGTTTTTTTGGGGGGAGAGGGGCAAAAAAAGAGATCAGGAGAGCTACTCTGGAAGTGTAAATCTCTGCCTCTACCAACATGAGCGGCAGACTGCATGTGCAACCGTGCCAGCATGACAAAGCAGGAAATGCTAACCTAAACTTTGGTTCCAAATTTGGAGGCACATGCAGCACAGGCCATTTCAGTGCAGTACATAATGATCCCAAAATACCAAGACAGAAGCCATACAAAAAGTATTTTGACTTTTGAGAGTAACAAAATTCAGTAACAATCCTCAAAAGTCTCTTAGGAAAATAAAACTGCTCAACAATTTAAAGAAAACAGAACATATCACTGCAGGAAGCATACTGTAGTCCATGTTAGGGAACAGGATCTTTTTCACATTGATTTTTATGGTTTTATAAGCTCAGGAAACCCTAGACAAGCATACAGGCAAGCAGTCAACCTAGAATGTGTGACTTCAAGCTGTCTTGTGTCTACAAGTGTGATTAGACATTATCTCCTAGGTACACTGTGTACCTGTATTTGGAGTAATACAGTATTTAAGCCATTGTGGCAAAGCACCCTGAACTTACAGACCAGTGCCAAATTTTACTGTGGAAACACATCAGCAATTCTGCTACTGTAGCTATAAATGGGTCTAAACCTATACTAAGAAAGAACTATAAAGTAGCAGCTAACCTCAGATTGTGTCATTTGATGGTGATTCATGGCATAACCAAAACACTTGGAAAAAACTTAAGTTATTTAAAAACAATGCCATCATGTGCAGGATACCTTCCAACTTCCAACTCTGAGTGCATTCTTAAAAAACATTCTTTATTAGTTGAATTCCATATGGATTTTAGTTTTTTTCCTCAAAAGACTTTAGTTATGCTTCTGTTCATATGTGATATATACTGCAGAATTAAAGGCTTTCACCAAGACTGTACACAGCCTGGTAAGTCACCCAAACAGTGTTTCTTGTGCTAATCTAAATCCACGCAGCATCTTATCACTGTGAATGGAAAATACCTAGTCTAAATCCATTTGGTTTAGACACATTAGTTGACTTTTCTGTTTCAGAGCAACAAAGTTAGCATGTGCTTTTGTTACATTAGATTCGTTTAGAAGTCAAACTCATCTCATAGCAGTAGTAATGCTGCTGAAAAATATGCAAGATACTCTAGTGAATTAAAAAACTCATAAAAAGCTTATATTATTGAAAAGCATTTGCTATATTTAGTATTAAAACAATTTCATCCTGAAAAAAATAGTAAAAATACTTTGAAATCCATTCAGTTAAGTGTATTTTATCCTCCCAAACCTTATTCTATGCAATACTGCTGAAAAAAACAGTAAGAGACTTTCATCATTCTACAAATAAGAGGCAATGTGAAACATGGTATCAATAAATCAGAATATTAGCAATCTCAAGCATCCACTGGATTCCAGCTTTGGTAGGGCTACGTTGGTCTTTGGCATGTATCAAAACACCATTGATACATATTTTACCCACCTCAGATCCAGTGCCTAGTGTCAGAAACCTCACTACAAACTGCAAGTAACTGAAGTTGATGGCTCATTTCAACCATTTGTTTACATTTTCACTCTACTGTAACAGCAGTTACATTTTGAATGCTTTCTGTTTCCACAGAAACATCTATCAGTATTTAACCTTTCTATGAACTAAAACAAGCTGCACATTTGCTATACTCAAAACTATTTGGTTAAATTGTGACTACTCATGTCCTGCTGAACAAGCCATAGCTACAAGACTTAAGAGCATATTGCAAGAGGACAAAAAACCTGCCAGTGAAAGGCTTGGTATTTCAGACTACCTGAAATAATGGAAAAGCTGAACTGGAGAAAATAAGAAGGCAATTATCTAATTGTAAACTGGGCTAATGAAGTACAATATTTTGTGTGATGGGACAGTAAACCCTTACTGAATTTGATGTGTTTAAACTGATTTCTTCCTGGAGACATCCAAATGTTACATTTTTTCCTAAGCTCTCCATAAAAATGCAGGTGAAAAGGATCACTATTTTTAGTGAATGCTAAAAGCTGACACTGTATTTGAAGGTTTATTCTTCTGCTATCATAATCATAACAAAGCATACTAAAGGGGAAAAAACATATTTGATCCAAGCAGTGCAATATCGCAATTATCAATCTGAATGTGCTGCAAAAGTTTAAGGAACAGCCACCTTAAAATGTGTACTTTTCAAAACCATTTTTTCTCGACAAAAGCCTCCAAAACAATTGGATCTAGCAACCCCTCAGTAAGAAAATAATTTAAAAAGCCCTACCATAGCATTTATATAAGAAATAGCTAATGAAAAAAATCTTCCAGGCTTTTGACAATCTAAGTGTGTTGACAGTGTCCTTTAAGATCTAAATGTGAGATCTTGTGATCAGCTGATCACATGGTAACTCAATCACTGCATATGCAGTATGATAAATACTCGTAATAAAAATCCAAACATTAATGCAGCAAGAAAATATGAAGCAGATTTTCCCCAACTCCAGAATGACCATTCAGCCATCATCCTTGTTCAGCAGATCAGCTGATGGAGAACTCTGGTCAACTCTGAAAGAAACTGAGTCACTCTGCCATTTAAACCAACAGTTCACACTCAGCAGGGGAACAAGATGACACTGGTGGAGAGATAACCAGACAATCCCATCAGGCTTGTATCGTGTCTTGTTAATAGCATGTGTAAGAAAAGTCTGGTTTACAATTTGTTTTTGTGTAACAAGTGGACCTTGGCAAATATCTTAGAAGTTTGTCAGTACACCAAAATACAAGCCTGACAGTCAAAAGACTTTTAGCCAGAGAAACTTCCCACAGAATATTAATCAGTTTGGATTTTATTACGTCACATAGTTCCACACTTCAGATGGTATGTTGCTATTTTTCATAAAATTATCTTCTGTTACTCTGACATACTCAGTCTTCAAATATCTGCCTGCTATATTTCAGTTAATTACTGTTTTATAGTGTTAATATTTGTAGCTGCTTTAGAAAAAAGTTAATGAGCAATTTATGTTCTGAGTGAAAACTATTTAAAATGCAACTGAGCATTCTGGCCACTTTTATTTTCCTGGATTTTTAAGTTTCTCATACTATGTATGGTTAAACAGTGATTTGTCTGGACTGAATTTTAGGTGGTAGACAAAAGTAACAGGACAATGACAGGCTATCAAGCCATAGTTTCAAAGACCAATGTGAAGATGAAGACAATTAGCTGCCCTAGAGCTCATCCTGCAAATGCTGAATGATCAGTTAAATGTTGTGGAATTTGATTTATTTTTTAAAAATTGCTATTTTGGTTAGAATAGCCAAAATGGAAACACTTTGACTTTAGCAGCAGATGACCTGCCACTTGCAATAGAGTCATCTACTTTCACAGATGCTAAAAAGAGTTAGAGTTTCTATTTAGTCACCTGACTGCACATTGTGAATACCTCTTCAACAGCCAGCTCCACATGTGGAATGGAGCAAAATTGTGCTTAAGTGACAGTGGGTTCAAGCCCAGAGAGGCTTACAACCAGAACAGATCAGACAAAGAAAAAGTCATTGCTTCACAGGCAAAAGAGCAGCTGTTGCAGCAATGAACACTACTAGCAAGTCAAAACAATCATGAAAACTCAACTGCCTACTTGAGTAGTTGATCACAGCTAGCTCACTTAGAGAATTATTTGACATGGGTTTAATTAGAATAATTATCAGTAGCAATGGAAAAGAGCAATAGTCAGTGTATGGGCCTACAGGGGTTAAGTGTTCAAGAATACAGCTCCTGTAACTAAACAAAAACACCAGAAAAATGGGAAAATTACACACAGATGTATGAGGACATCAGATGGCCATAGGAAAAAAACCCCATGTGTGGAACTAGCCCTTTTTAAAGTTTTATCACTTAACAGGCATTTTTAAAATGTTTAGGCTCACTTGATGATCTCATGGTAAAGCCATACAATGCACCATGACAAATTTCCTTCATAAACCCATGTGGCATGTTATCACAAACTCTGCTTAGACTGGGAAATAGTGGGGGAAGAAGGGGGACTTATGTTCACAACAACATTCCCTTGTTAAATACCAAGAGCAGTACTAAGTACTAATCCTCAGATAGTGGACACAATTACATGAGAATAACAAACAAAAAGGGGAGATTCAAGTTGGTATGCCCCACATGTGAAGTCCTAATAGCATCCTTCATGTGAAACAAATCCAGGCTTTGATCCAGCAGCAGAAAGAACTCTGAGTCCTAAAGCATGCTGTTTAACCTACAATGTCTGTATTTCAGGAGCTCATACTAATGAGCATGAAAAAGCTGGCCCACACCAAAAAACTGTTTTAAAGGGATAGTCAAGATAGAGACATTAAAGAAAGCACAGCTTCTCATGGCTCTGATACAATAGGCAGGTTCATAAAAATACATGTATGCAGAGAAATGTTGTGGTAAACTCACTGGAAAGAAAGTGTTTTGAAAAAGTGCTCCTTCCAGTACTTTTGGATATGCAGTGTTGTTAGAAAAATGGCTCATCGCCCAAACTGTTCAGCACTGTACAGAGAAAGCAAAGTTTTTACAACCCTATGAGGCTCACCAGCTAAGGTACTGAACACAGACTCAACAAAAAAGGGAAAATTTGAACTGAAAAGGTCAACTTGGAGGCTGTATCACAGCTTAAAAACTGAGAAATTACTGAAATTGAAGAACAAAAGTTGGGTACCGAATTCACGGGCTGTATTTCTTCAAGGTAGTGGAGTTCTGCTTAATTTTTGAAGAAGCCCCCATATTGAATATTCCATGAAGATGCCACTTTAGACAACTAGTTAATTGCTGTCTCTGGGAAGTTTTGTGTTTTAAGATTTTTCCACCTAGTAACAGTCAACCTACCTGCCCATAGTTGTCTATGCCAGTTACTAATCTATTTAAGTTTAATAAATCAAAAGCTGTCCTTAGGGACTGGCCAAGAGTCGTAAGTCCTTCAGCTTGAAGGTTTTTCAGTTCATTCATAAACGTTGCATGGTTTTCCTTCCAGCCAGCCTGCAAAGGGAAATGTGAAAAGATTTATTCTGCAGATACGAGTTTTGCCTTCCTGTTAGGCTACAAAGAGCCTCCCCTGCTACATGCAGCTCACCACAAATGATAATAAAACACCTCAGAAGTTAGTATTTGATGTTGCTTCAAAAAGCCTGAAATTATACGCTTCTCTTAATCCTTAGAACTCCCCATATACCAAACGAGCATTTTTGCTTTGTTCCACGGGACATATTTCTTTGGTGACACCGGTGCCCGAACCTTAAAGAGTTATTTACACCACCCTCCCGGAGCCCTGCAGATGGAAGCCAACTGCGCTGTGAAGCGACCTCCAACAGGTTCACCGTCCTGTGTCATGTGGACCCACCGCCCCCTTCCCCCGCGTGCCCCCCCGCCGCGGCGGGGCCAGGGAAGGGCCGTCCCCTTCCGAGTCCGGGGCTCTCCGGGCTGAAGTCGGTGCTTCCCCCGGCTCGCCCCTTCCCAGCCGAACTCTCCCTGGAGTTGCTGTCACTTCTCCCAAGTTGAATAAATATCCCCCACAGTTCATTGCTGCTCGCACACACCGCACAGGGGAAAAGCGTCGGCCATGTTGATGTCAGCGCCGCCGCCGGAGCCCGTGTGTGCCGCGCTGCCCGGGACCGCCGGCAGCCGGGGCGCGGCGGGCGGGGGGCGGACGGGCCGGAAGGAGGCCGGGGAGGAGGAGGGGGGTGAGCGGGGGTTACCTTGATAGCGTAGGGAGGCTCCTCGAAAGTGACCAGCATGTACCTGTCTCCCCTGCTGGCCGGGTCCCGGGCTCGGAGCTGCGGCGCGGGGGACAAAGCAGAGGGTGAGCCGAGAGGCGGCGCCGCCGCCGGAGCCCCCCGGCCCGGCCCGGCCCTCCCTTCCCCTCCCTCCCCGCACACACACGCACTCTCTCGCTCTCTCTCCCGCCCGCCCTCGCCCCGTGCCGCCCCCTCCCCTCCCCGCGCAGCCACTCTCGCTCGCTTTCTCTCGCCTCCTCTCGCAAGGCAGAGCCCGGTACCTTCATGAAAGTCTCTACAGCGCCTTTGGCTATGTCCAGATAGGTGGTGCCCAGATGGGTGCGCTGGTTCATGGAGGCGGACGTGTCTATCAGGAAGAGTAAGATGGGCATAGTGCGGAGGGGCCGGCGGCCGGACGGCTACATGGACAGCGGGCGGGGGGCTGAGGGGAGAACCGTCGGGGGGAGGTGAGGGGAAGGGGGGGAAGAGAGAGAGAAGACGGGGGACGGGAGAGGAGTAAGTGGCTGTGAGTGCTGTGCACGGGGAAGGGCGCCTCCCCGCTGCCCCTCTGCCGAGGCGGGGGGGAAGGGGGGGCAGCCCTGCCTGCCCTGCCCTCCTTTGTGTGAGGGGCCTGCTCAGCCCAACACAGGCTGGTTTATGAGGGAGAGGCGGATAGGGCTGCGCTGCTGGCTAACCTTCCCCCCACCACCACCTTCCTCCTCCACCGCCGCCCGCCCTCCCCTCCCCCTGTTGATGTTACTCAGAAGTTTCAGGCGGAGCAGCCGCAGCCCCGCTACCCCGGCACTTTCTCGCTCTGACTGAGGCGCTTCCTCGCTCGCCTCCCGTTTTTAAGGCAGCCTGGGTAGGTCGGCCCCGCCCCTCAAGGACACGTCCCCGTCCCACGTGACTACCTCCCGGCTCCACCATAGGGCCCCGGTAACCGCTCCTTAGCATATTCAAATAGGCGGGGCGGGCGCGGGCGGCGGGGGCGCGCAGGCGCAGCGGCGGGCGGGCCGAGGGACGCGGGGCCGGGCGGGCAGCGCCGGCGCTGGAAAGAAGGAGGGAGGGACGAGGGCGGGCGCTGCCCCCGCCCCGTCTGCGGGCGCCGCCGCTCTCCTTGAGGCTGCGGGCACATCCCCACCTGCCCCCGCAGCGGGTGCTGTCCCCTGCGGGACCCGGGCAGTGCCGCAGGGCCCCGGGTGACCTGTGCGGCAGCCGCATGCCCGCGGAGCCCCGCCGGCCCCGGTGCCGAAGGAGCGGGGGAATCGCTCCTCGAGGGAACTGCGCTCCTGGCAGGCAGTCCCGGGGTCGCGTGTCTTGCCCACTGGGTTTAGGATGGAGATGACGGTCCGGTACCGTTTTGATGATGAATTCCCAGAGACATGGTCTGGCCTTTCTCTCGATCCTTAGGGGGAAAAAAAATTGGCTAGCCTTAGCTGTGACCTTTTTCCTTCCATACGAGCAGTGATTAATACTAAGGTTTCAGTCATCCATGCAAAGGCACTCCAAATTTACTTCTTATAACTCTTATAATTATGGACTGTTCCTAACCAATTAATGACAAAGATCTCTGTTCTCGGTTTTTTGGCAATTTGTTAGGATTTGGTTTGCTTTTTTTCTCCTCCTGCAATTGAGTCTGCTGGTTCTGCTCACAGCGTTGGAGCAGTAACTCCAGAGCCATTTCTTAGCATAACCTGTTCAGGAGAATGCTCTGTTTCCTATCTGACTGATTTTTTTTTTTTTCTCCATGATCCAGCTGATGTGCTTCTACAGCTGCTGATCTAGAAGTTTTAAAACCACTGTGCTCCTTCCTTCTCCCAAGATAAAATTGGCAGTGTTCTGGCTTGATTCGTCTTGGTCTTCCAGGCAAGATTTGTGTCTTGTTAGGCAAGGGCTTGATTTGGCTTTTTTATTATCTTCTTTTTAAGACAAATGGAAGATTAGCATTTCTAGGAAGAGAGAGGGATAGAATCACATTTCCATTGCAAATTGGTATGCATTCTTATGCCTTCAAGCAGCTTATTTTGGCTTTCCTTTTGGTGCTGCACCTGTGACCTGTGCTGTCCTTTCTTAGGCTTTGAGGTGAAATCAAGGACACTTCCTTTCAGCCTAGTTTACCATTCAAGGATATATTAAAATATCTTCAATCTTAAGGAATCTGGGAGAGCTGGGAAGGAATCTTTGCAGTTGGTGCAGGCCAAAATACAGCAACTTTGGCAGTAACTTCTTTTACTATGATTATTTCTCACTGTGGGTCGTGCTGCACTTGGTGAGATTGGCCAAGCTCATGTGTACCCGGTGGCTCTTGAGCTGCTTGAATCTTTCCAGCAGTTCAGTGTTAGAGCTCTAGCAGTGGTGTTGGGTCTCATGACCTGCAGCAAGGCTGTTCTGGTACAGGTTCTACTGTTTAATCTGAATCCCTTCCTGTCAGAGAGATAACAGCAGGTCCCACAGAGGCCACATTGCTGGGTTACCCTGGAATCCATCTGCATGCCAGTCCCTGTTACACAATAAAACATTTGGACTATCAGATAGGCTTGGTTTATAGTCATTTTCTCTCCTCAGAGGTGTTTTGGGACACTTTCTGTCCCCTCAGGTCCCCAAAGAAAGCTAAAGGATCTTCTGCAGCTCCTAATGTAAGCAAGACTGGCTGCTGGAAGAGTAGTAATTGTCCCCGTAAGGTGGTGGGATTCAAGTTGTAGGCTGCAGTGCTGCTTAAGCAAATCACACCTTATAATTAGTAATTTTATTTGGGAGTAATGTTGACTGAGTGTATCATGATGGCCTTTAATTGGCTAGATTTCTGAGATAGGCACATTGTTCAGACATGCCACGTTCTCTCTCTTTGTATGTCGCTGATATTTCATTGACCATCCTAATAAAATCATCATCACTTTTATGTGTAAAACATCATGCGTCTTCTTGGGGAACATCTGAAAAATGGGAAACTTCTGGAGTGGTTCCTCCTCCAAAGTGCTGGAAAAGAGGCATTTTAGAGTCCTTGTCGTACCAAGAAAATGTCATGGTGAAAGGCAGCCTGAACCATGAAGATGTTGCATAAATCCTGGAAGGTCATTTGGAATTTTTATGTTTTGTTGCCAGTAAATGAGGAGAGATCAGCTAAAAAGCCATGTTCATTCGTGCTGGTAGAATCAGTTATAAACCAGCATGGATTCTGGATCAACTTTGAAAATTGCAAGCTGTAGGCATAATGTAACTGTCTTGCCAATGCAAGAGGAAGGTGACACCAAAGCAGCTGGCCTGCTCTACCTCTTGTTCCCTCAGCCCTGGTAATTATCACTGATGGAAGAGTCCCAAAGAAAAAAAAAAACACACAGTTCCAATGGGATTTGCACAAGGAACTAATTTACTATGCTTTTCTGTATGTTTTTTGCTGTTGCCTTTGAGGCCATTTGGAGCATTCAGTGCTTCCCGCTCCTGTGCATCTGACATTAGACCCTGCTATAGGGCAGAACCACGGCTGGGTGTGTGTTGTCTGTGGCAGGCATTGGTACTTTGCTGCTGGGAGCAGGCCAATTTGATTAATACTGGGAAAGATTCTTTCAAAGACAGGTAATCAACCCAAGCCTTAAGTGTGCATCAGTCTCTTGATGTGAGAGTCATAATGGCTGGTACTGCCATCAGAGTCGCATTTATAAATCTGTGTGGGAGAATGGCTGCAAAGGAACAAACCCCAGCGATATTAGTGCTTGTGCTCATTACTGCCAGAGCTGACACAGCTGAGCAGAGAGAGTGAAGCTGCCACTGAAAATAGATGCATCTTTCTTTTACTTTTTTTTTTTTAATATGTTGGGCAAAGTGACACCCCATGCACAGTCCAAATGAGCCAGTTATACCTTTTCTTCTGAGTCAAGATGAATGATTTCAGTAAGCTTCTGGCTGGAAGAACACTCTTGCTGTCCTCATGATGCAAATATTCCACCTACTTCCATACAGGTTTGTATTTCTTGTACAGGCATGAGGAAGCATGAATGTATGTATATCTATGTCTAAGAATATTTTTTTTCTCATCTTCGGAGAATAGGTGTTGTCCATTTGGGGATAAATAAGGTGGTATTGAAGGTGCAGATTTATTTTACATTTGAATGCTAAGTCAATAAACCAAAAATCAAACATAAGTGTAAAAATATACCTAAAAAACTCCATCATATGAAAAGAGCTGAAGAACATTTTTCTGTCATTTGCTGTTACTGTGTTTTTCCTTAAATAGCTTCTTCTCCAAGTTGATGTTTTTTAAGATTTTTGTTGTATTATCACATAGCATTGGCCTTATTTTGTCCTAAACTTCAGGCTTGAATGGAAGATGTTGTGTTAATCACCTTCCAGTTCTGAGAACTAAAACTGATAACCTGTTTTTTAATTGTCTTTCTCCTCAATATGGAATTATTTTCATAAAGTAAATTTCCATATTTTAGTCAGTCCAGGTCCTAATGATACAGGGAAATTTTTCCGAGCTTCCTTTACAATACAGTTCTGTAGCTTTTTAGATTGTCATTATTAAATGCTTCCCCCCACATTTAACAGTTATGTTTTCCACTTCCTAATTTAATTCTACTGCATGTCATTAAAACATATTTCTTTATACAGAATTCTGAGTTTCAATTTATCTTTTAATACTTGTGTCCTCTTTTTTTTTAGTCTTCCTTTGGCCATGTTCTGTGCATTCAACTCACTTGCTTTTGCTACAAATAAAATTTTATTGCTTACTTGTCTCACATACGTAGCAACATATATTGTTGGGGGGGTTTTGTTTTGTCCTGTTGGGTTTTTTTACTGGTTTCAATGCAGGGGGGTTTGACCCTAATTTTTTTTTCATCTTCCTGAAATCCGTACCAAAGATAAACTGATTTATTAATCTTATCATTCAGGTAGCTTAGGTAAACAGAAAACTTTTTTTTTAGTGTATATTCTAACGACTTGAATGAGGATGCCTATTTTTACAAGATTTGCAGAGGCAGCTGCCTTCCTTTGAAAGTAGCACCTTTTAGAAGCCTGTACTTTGGGTTCCCAAGCACCAGAATACAGTGAAAGTACATCTCTCTGCAGAACAATGACCTCTAAAAGAAGTGGCATTCTGGCTTCTCTTGGCCCATCTTCAAACACAGCCTCTTTTTCATTGTCCATCCACTGGGAAACCCAGAGGATAGTCTTTGAAGCTTCCTAGGGATTTTTGTATTCCCCACCACCCCTCCAGTCATCCAAATCCCTTGCTGTTTCCTGGCCTGGGAGTTGGAACCGCAGTGAAGAACAGTGTACCATCCAGGGGAAGAACAGTTAATGTGGAAGTGCAAGGAAATGGGCACAACAGGAGTTTGATAGAGCTTGTTTTCTAACTGTGCAGACTGAATGTAGGTACTGGGAGACTTAACTTCATGAGTATTTGTGAAGCACTTAGGTGCTTCCAAATAAAGTTATGATGGAAGTGCACAGTACAATTCTTTTCAGAGAAAAAAACCTGATCTCTTTGAGGTCGCTTTACTGTGACAGCAGAATTCAGTCAGTTAATGACAGAGGTTGCAAGGCACCTGAATAGAAGATGAGACTTTTTTCATTAAATAAACTGTGTTTAATACATGCTTTTTCTTTACTCTTACTGGTCATAGATTGAAAGGTCTTCTCAACTATGCATTGTCTTCATATGTATTTAACAGCATTTAACAGAGAAAGACTTCTCCTCTTTGGTACCATGGAAGAATATTAAATATAATAGGGAAAAAGCTACTTAAACTTTTCAAAATTACAGATGCAATAAGGTAGCACACATGAGAATTCAAATAGATTTACAGTTCTTACCTATCCTTCCTGATGTGTTACATTGCTTTTTTCACATAAGTTAGAGTTCTGGTCAAGAACAAAGCCCTGTCTCAGCTCTGGGCCTTTAAATTTATTCTGTGTCCTGAGTACCTAAGGTGGTGCATCAAGATCCAAAGGGAGCATAAAACACCCTCTAGCATAAACATTCTCTAGCATATAATAAGGTGTTCTTTCCTTCTCAGCTTCCCACCAGTCTCCCAGGTCATGAACAGGAGGAGTTTTCTGCACTCACTAAACCAACATGTTTGAGGAAATTTTTGCTTGTTATTCCAAAAAAAAATTAAAATCTTCTCTTGCCAGAATGGCCAGAGACAATAGTTAGGTCTATTGAAAGTTTGAGAAAGATAATTTGTAGCAATCTGCTCTGGTTTGGGGGGTTAATGAATCCTCCACACAAATACCTGTAAAAATGTTGCCATGCAGGCTTTCCTCCGGATGACAGGAACAGGACTATGATACTTTTCCTCCACAGCACCGCTTTTAAATGGTCTTTGGGGTTGTTGTTACAGCCCTCTCAGGGAAACCTTCCTGGGGCATGGATGCCTTGCCTGTACAAGCTGACCTGAGCAATCCCTGTCACCATTCCAGTGATTGCTTTTGTTCATTCCTCCAAGCATTCCTTCTTGCCTTCACTACCAAGTTTCATTAGCCCTGGAAATCATATCCTTCCTGAAGAGCTAGACCTTCCTGCACATTTCATAGCATAGCAACGTAACTCCATTACCATGGATCCCAGACACAAGCATGTAGAATTTATCTAACTAATCAAGCAGCTAAGGGACACCAATTCCAGCTACAGTCAGCTTGGATTATAAAGCACTTACAGCTAAAACGTAGCTACAAGCACTTCCCAGGGAGGCAAAGCAGTGAGCTGGGGGTTTTTGGTTTTTTGTGGTTTGTTTGGTTTGGGGTTTTTTAATGGCAAATGTAATGCGTATAGTCTTGGTAAACAGACAGAAATATTTATTCATCCAAAAGCTGTTTCCCACTGAGGTATCACACCTGCATGTGGTATTTGAGAGCTGGGAGTTCTTTCTTTAAAATATTGCCTCACTGTAGAGGTTTTTTTTTCCTTTTACTTTTACTCTGAATGTGATTATTATGCATTGCCATCTTTTGCCCAAAATCAAAATACGCTCTAAAATATAAAGGCAGCAACTCCATTGCTGCCTGCAAAGCAGCTGGTTGATGACTGATGCTGAATGGAATATGGACCAGTTGATCTTTTTCCACTTAGCAGTTAATGAAAACTTAATCAAATCTCAACTAGCAGCTAATCGGAAATCTCTACAAAAGCCATCTATAAAGCACAGACATAGGACTCCTGGAATACAATTAACCAGATAAAGCCTCTCATCCAGAGAAGAAATCTGTCATCGGTGCCTTCATGCCTTCAAGGACCTATGTCAAGGTGTTTGGGACTGTTGCTGAGCATGTAATTTAAAAGATGCAATTAAAAAGAAGTGAGGGGATTTTTTTCCATTTCTACTTTTATGTGCCCATTGAAGCCCTGATATAAGGCCTGTATGTCACAGAAAACTTCAGTGGGTACCTCAGTGAGCAAGTCTGTCCTGCACCAATTTGCAGAAAAATAGTGTCTTGTTTTATAAACATTTTGAATGAGAAGGAAGGACACTTAAAACACAGCTTTGAAAATTGCAAAAGGATAATTCTTACTGAGTTAGAGACTACAAAAGCATTTCTTATTAGGCAAATTTTAGAATGGACTTGAGACCAGCTGATAGCAAACCCTGAATTACAAGTATAATCTTTTTTTCATAACAACAGTCTTCACCAAGCAGCGCTGTTTTTGTCAGTGATGAGTTTTTTGTTGTTGGAGATGGCTTTCAATTTCATGATGTTGCAATCGGAAAGCCTTGACCGTTTCAGGATCAGTTCTAATATTTTCCTGTTGGTAAGCTCTTTTTAAGGCAACATACCATTTATGGTTATTTTCCAAACATGGGGCCAAAATAAAAAGTCCAAGAAAGCCCATCCCATAATTCATATTGACAGTAAGTGTATGCTTCTCCAGGTTTGGCAGAGTGTGTGTGTGTGTGTACACCAGTCGTGTGATTACTGTAACATTTGCTCTGAGCTTCTCCTGGTCTTTTCCTCTTTTAAGGTATTTCTGTTTTCTGTTAGCCTGTTTTCTTAGAAACTTGACACTGATATATGCGTTTCTGTTTTCTGGTTTGTGTGATTTGTGAATAAAGCTAACAGTGATTTATATAACTGAGGTCTCCAAGAATGAAACTTAACAATGCAAAGGCAACAAAAAACAGGCTTTTAACTGTTATTTCTATTCCATTACCTTTCAGGGTTTGCATGTTGGTTTTTTAAAATTTTATTTTTCCTATTTTTCCTTCCTTTCCTTTTCTTAATGTCTTCCATTTCAGGTCCTTTTTACCTTTCAGAAAAAGTTACAGTATGTTCTTCTTGACATTTCTGCTTAGTTATGGCTTATCTACTTAGATACGGCTCTCCTCAGCCAGCCAAGGGAAAAAAAGCCAAAACTACTAATTTGCCATGATGAGTGTTTTCACTCTTTGCTTTTTCAATGACTGGTTGTGCTGCATCCTGGACTTCTGTAGCAGCTAATAAGTAACTCCTGATGCCAGAATAACTCCTGATTCCAAAGGTTGACAGATATCATTTGAGCTCTCAATTCAGAGGTAAATGACAGCCCTTTAACCCAATTATAATCCAGTGTGGCATAATTGGACTCATTTGTGATCCTTTACCAACTGGCTACTGCAGTTAATTTATAAAAAATGGGACAGTATTCCTTTTCCAAGGGGAATTAGAGTCTATTATGCTTTAATTTATACATTGTTTAGAATGCTCCAGACTGTTTCTACCTTAGTACCAATTTCTCCTTTTCTGCATCTGCTCATTGTTTCCTAATTCCCTTTTCTTATACTGAAATCTATTACTTTTGTGTTAATATGCTTTACAGGAGTTTTCACTGAGATATTTGGAATTTTTACTTTTATCACAGCATCCTTCTAATTAATACAGCCAATTTCGCCATAATGTCAATTACTTTGTGGAGTACATAACTGTAATTGTGACCATCATCTAAATCTGTTCCTTATTTCACTGCTAGCAATGCAGCAGACCACTGCCACTAGCATCAAACTTTCCTGTAATTCTGACACTGCAGTGAATTCCTTCCCAACTGGCAATAAGAAGGTCTTACACAGCTCTTTCTCTGCTTGAGTTCTCTGTTTTCTGGATTATGAAATTATCCTCTGCATAATTCAAGAACCGCTTCATGATCTATGTTTGGCAGAATTTGTTACCCAGCAGATGTCTGGACAGTTAATGACCTCTGTAAGTAGAGCCATGTGATTTCTTGCTACTGATGGGCCAAGAATTTTTAATCTATTCTGCTACAAGTCAGCACTTGAGCAGCATGTCACCTCTTATTATAAAACAAAAGCATAAAATGTGTATAAATTTTCTTTTCAGAATTGTTCTGCCTAGTCAGAAATGGTATTTTTCCCTCATTTTCTTCTGAGTCTGTTCATGTATGTGTACATGCAATGCACGGATGCATATATTTTTTCTTGGCTAAATCAAAGGAGATGAATGAAAAACCCTGAAATTAATCAAAATATAGTTTCAGTAAA